TATTTACGCATTGAAATCTATTATGTTTTTTAATGTATGTTCTTCGGAATAAATCTCCATAGGCAATATATACAGATGACAATTAACTTCATCTAAAAATACACATTGCTAATAACAATATTAGTAGCTATGAGGATGCTGATCATGATGATATCCAATAAAAATAGGTACATGAATTAATGATAATATATTACAATAACGATGATAATGTAAAAATGATAATAACAATAACGATGATAATGTAAAAACGATAATAACAATAACGAGGATAATGTAATAATGATAATAACAATAATGATGATGATACCAATAACAACAATAATTCGTTTTTCCTTTGTACCCTGTCATACGAAAATCCTCCAAATATATCATGTTGCTTTTACCTTAAACTTGGACTCCAGATTCCCTCTCTTATCCAGGAAGGCTCTTCTGAAGGCCACTTCGCTCATGAAACGCCAGTAAATTCCCACGAGGTTGATGCAGAGGAGGATGGTGGCGTCAACGCACATCTGGAATGGAACGAAGCTAAATTATTCTGCCATTGGAGTGGCTATGATGGGATTAGGGTATTGTTGATATGCAAGTGTTTGCAATAATAATGGTTAATAACTGCAGAATGGGAACCCAGTTTATTCCAAGAATATCACACACACACACACACACACACACACACACACACACACACACACACACACACACACACCATATATATATATATATATATATAATATATATATATATATATATATATATATATATATATATATATATATATACAGGCTGACATTCCAAAATCCGGCAACCTCTTGACCTTGGGAGTGCCGGATTTTCAAAAAATCTTTTTTTCTTTTTTGGTTATGCATGCTGTATATGTTTTAACAGAAAATCAATAAGCGCATAGTTCTTTAAAGAAAGAAACTCGTACAATAACTGGAAAACAAATGAAATGTTAATGCTCACCAACTAAAGAATTGTTTTTTTCTTTCTAAACATTTCCACTTTTTCTGCAATCGACAACCCACAATTGCTAATATTTTCCATCACCTCTTTTCTTAACTGAATGCACCATAGGGTTGTGCAACAGCAAAGATATGATAAAATGAGAATGAATAATCAGGATTGCCTGTTAGCACGTGCAAGCAAGACCTAACAGCTGATTCTGGAGTACAGCGCCATCATAACATAAACGGCGACTCCAGAAAACAGTGACGCACCAACGCGGTAAATTTGAAAATGCGCTCCGAAATTTATTCCGGAAATCTGAAGGAATCGGATTATGGATTTCCGTTTTTTATGTCAACCTGTTTATATACATATCTATCTATCTATCTATCTATATACATATATATATATATATATATATAATACACACACAGATATATATATGTATGTATGTATATATAACCATTTACATAGTGATTTATATTATAGTTACGCATCGGGAATACCTTGGTGACGCAACCTACCTTGGTGACGACGTGCTGGTGGCCGTAGGGGCTCTGGTCGCCCTGGATGGCGTAGTAACCGAGCGCCAGGTAGCCGAGGGTGAGCAGGAGGGCGAGGACCGTCACTTGCCACTTCCGCGGGATCGGCAGGAAGACATAGACGACCAACAGGAGGTATATCATGTTGCCGAACTGAAGGAAGAAATTTGGTGACGTTAATGCCTTACCTGTTCTCCGATTGAGAGGGATCCTATTGGAATACTAATTATTGGTATATTAAAAGCCATGTAAATTCCACTCTCTAATGACTTCGGTTCGAGCACCGTCCTTAGCAACACCCGCCGCCTCCTTCCGCTTTCCTGAACTCCCGACCGACGAGCCACCACGGCCCTCCCACGTACCCCGACGCGCACCACCGCATATGCTAATTACCTTACAAAAACCCACCTCCTATCCCTCGCAAGAAACTGATCCGCGGCACAGACCTTGACATCCTTATCCTCATCGCCCTGGATGTTTTGCTCGTGGAAATAGAGCGTGAGGGACACATCCGTCGCGAAGAGAGTGAGGATGATGAGGCCCGACATGACGACGTGGAGACTGGGGAACTGCCTGAAGGTCCTTTCGTCGTACACGTAGACCAGGAGGGCCAGGCACACGACGAGGGCGGCGCCGTGGCCTGTCAGCTCCGGGATGAGCTCCTCCGGCGGGTGCTGTGTGGGGAGGGGGAGGGGTTATTTCCTGCTGTGCTTTGTGTTGCTGCTATTCGTAATGTTATTGTCATTATCATGTTATCGTCGTCTCTATTATTATTGTTATTATTAGTAGTAGTATTGTTAATATATTGTTATTATTATTATTATTATCATTATTATTATTATTATCTTCATTAACATTATTATTATCATTACTATATTATTATTATCTTCATTATTATCATTATCATTATTATTACTATTATTTCTATAAGTATCATTATAATAATAATTATCATTATCATTATTATTATCTACATAAATAATATTATTATTTGCATATCATTATTCTTTATGATT